TTATCCACAGAGTTGATGTGGTCAGTAAAATGTTGGACTTCCTGAGATTTAATTTTAACCCAGGTGTCGTCAACATACCTGAACCAATGACTTGGTGGTGTCCCTGAAAAGGACGTCAAGGCTCTCTTTTCTACCTCCTCCATGTACAGGTTGGCAACAATAGGAGAATCACAATGAGAGCATTAAATCTGAGAAGTAGCCAAGAAGCACCAAGAAGCCAGTGTAGTCCAATGTGAGCACATCACTGCTTTATTATCTCACATGACCATCAACGAGCAGACAGAAATTAATCCACGGACCGTCAGCGTCAGATTTCACTTGAAAAGTTATGATGTCATAGTGTCACATTTTACTGTTGTGTTACCCCTACAGTACTGAAGTAGCAGAGATACTTCAGTACTGTAGGTACTTCAGGTTGAATGGTTGTAAGAAAACAAACTTTTTTTTTAATCTAAACTGTCGTACAGTATGTGCTGCTGAGTAGAGATCTTCTTCTCAGCTCCATCCACCTGGAACACGTTGCTACAGGAACTGAAGTTGTCCACCTTGAGTTCTTTAAGGGGTTTCAAACATTTGATAATGTCAATAGAAAAATCTAAGCAAATATGTTTTGTTTTTCACCTTGTTTTACAGCACCCTGATTTATTGTTTTATACACTACTCTTATTTGTGCTGCATTTTTAATGTAGTTTATTGTTGTTGCTGTTGTTTACTGTTGTTGTTGTCTGTACTTGATATTCTCTGTCTGGAACAGGTCCCTCTTGTAAATGAGTCCTAGTGGCTCAATGAGACTAGCCTGTACAAATAAAGGTTGAATGAATGAATGGATGACCCATGAGTAACATGAATAGTCGGGGGGGGGGGGGGGGGGTCATTGTCAGGTGACTCAGGCTCTGAGCAGTCATTCAGTTGTGTAGCCAAGAAAAGACAAAGACTTAATCTGATGGTTTCATTTATCCAGTGGCTGACGACACAGTTAGTCCTGGCTTGGTTTTTAGAGCTCTCATGGTTTGAAACTAATATTTTCATACCTATAAACAAAAAATAATCATAGAATTGGTTTAAATATTGCTCGAGTGCAGGAAAAGCTGGTGCTGAATTTAAATGGTGACTTTCAACATATTAATATGCGTTCTGTCTTTTAATCTACAAATCAAAACCAAATAAGATATTAGGTATTATTAAACTGTTATACTCATGATATACTCATTTTTAAGCATAATGTCCTATTATTTAACCTCTGCTGCCTAAATAATAGCACATTTTGACTAAAAATCATTATAATATGAGCTTTAGCATTTTGTGATTTTACTTAAAAGCAAAAAAATGTGATTGTATATTTTTTTAACTAATACATGTACTGTAATTTTGTGACTGATTTTTGCTCCCGGTCATCATATTGCTGCTATAAAGCATGTGCAATAAGATGATTACAATTTCCTTAGCACAGTCACTACATTTCATGTCCTCCAGTCACAGTAATTTGAGGATCTCTTTGCTTCTATGGCTTTAAAGTTAAAAAAACTTACGCTTTCACCAGGTGATAGTCAGAAGTATTGAAGACATAGCCGCCTATGACCCACATGACTTCCTGCTCCACCACAGCCTTGTGGGACGCCCTCGCCAGCCCAGCTTCAGTGTACTCCTCCCGGCTCCAAAAGGAGGAGTTGGCAGGAACAGAAACAGAACAGTCCGGACCTGAGGAGTTAGGAAAACCACAAAGTCAAGGCACCAAGAAAACTATAAAACAAAGGAAATTAAGGAGCTGTTATTTTTCCTGCAAGAAACAACAACTATCATCTGGAACGTTCTCCTTTAAAAAAAGATAACTCGGAGTAATAAATAAAACAAAGTGAGACGGTGGGGAGTTGTGCAGTAGGAGTGACAAATGGGTTCATGGAGGGGATGAGATTAAATCGGGCATCAGCCCATTCTTGTTGGCGGTCATGATGAAGTGGTTCACATATGAGGCCAGGTAGGAGTTCCTACAGACTCTGAGGTGTTTGCAGATGACATTATGAAAGAAGGGAGCAGGTGGAAGAGAGCCTGGAGAGGTGGAAGTCTGCTCTGGAGAGCAAATTAATAAAAGACTATCTATTTGAGAGAATGATAGCTCAGTAATAAAAGAAATGGATGGTTTGAGTTGAGCTCTTGGATTAGTTTTCTTTGACATCAAATGTAAAAATAAAAATAAAAAATAAACTAATTTCAAGTCTGTGATCCTAATTTGTGAGCTCAAACCAGGATCGTGTAATGGAGTAACTTCTTACTTTTTATTCATGTAATTTCAGGAAGAATTATATTGTAACTGTTATCAGAAACAATGCACAAGTTAGGATGAATCAGAAAAGTGATCAACTCCTTTTTAATAAGAAAATCCACAAAATGATTGCAGTACTGTAAAACGTTAGCATTTCTACAAACACCAACTCTTAAAACTTTGAGTTTGTTTAAATAATCTGTGTATTTAGAATAAAAGCATTTAAAGGATTAGTAGGTTTGAGTTAGACATTGGTTTGCTTTTGTACTTGTTAATGAAAACAGTTCATTTTAAACGTGAAGCTGGCAGCAAGAAGCAGAACATGGTGAGATGTTTCTGTTAAAGAGTTAAAGTATCGACTGCATCATTTCTGCTGTATTTCTGTGGCAGCGCTACAGCGACACTTGCAGGTTTGGCAAAGTGACAGCATTTTGGACAGTTGTCTGCATTTCTGCGAAGCTGAAAACCTTTTTCAAAAGCGTGCCGCATTTACGGGATAGTTTTAGAAAATATAATTTAAAAATTTGTGGACAAGACTTAAAGCATGCACGATTCTGTCCTCCCATTCTCCCCACCTTTTCTACTATTGAAACATTAACTGCTGTGAGTGACACTTTTTCTTCTCACTTCTATCCATTTTTAAGGAGAAATGCAAAGAAAAGTGTCCTCAGTAGTGTAAAACATCCTTTCATCCTGCAACAAGCTGTTCAACTTCCTGCCATGCGAAAGACAATTGTGTTCCATCCCATCAGATCAAGAACAGAAACCATGAGAAATTGCTTCAGTCCTCAGGCAATAAGGCAGCTCATGTTCCAGTAGCACTCTTGAAATCCCACTGGACAAGAAAAACGTTTGTTTCATAATACCAGTATACAACATTTAAACAGACATGTCAAACAAATTAACTTATAAAGAGTGAGAAAGATCAAAAACTATTTATCTACATGAATTAATATTCATTGTCATACTGATGACTTTTACATACAAGAACAAACCACCTCCAAACAGAAGAATCCCAAATCAACTACCTGATATGTTTTTTATTTTTATAATAAGAAATGTTAATGTTAGCTAAACACATAAATGTGTATTATGAGGGGTGTATTTCTGTAGATGAAGCGTTCGTTGAACTGAAACAGACATATTTAAAAGAACTAAAGATGATGTATGTATTTAACCAGGTCATGAAGCACATTCTCACTGCATGTTCTGTTCTGATTCAACACAGAGCACTGCTCTAACATGCACGTTTGTTTCTAGTTTGTACTTGGGAGCACAGAATAAGCTTAGGATTTTCTTTTTTGACAAATCCTCAAGTCAGGGTTAGCTTAGCTCATCTCCCATGAAGCCTTTAGTTTAGCTGCTACAAGCTGAAACTGCTGGAAGACAAAGGAAGCACGTGTCACACTGTCTTCAGTCTCATGTTAGTATTTGTAGTGATTGCTGTCATTAACTTTGTTTTCTCCTCGTCTTCCCACAGAAACCACGCCTAGCCCAACACATATCTTTGCGTCTTCCCGTCCTTTGAACCTCCAGTCGGCTGAAGCAGGCTGCCCAACATCTAGTTCAGCTGGAGGTTTCGTCCTGTTCTCCAGTCATTCTTTCCTGCAGTCACCTACATGCATGAGGAATTGTGTCAAGGTGAAGTTTGGAAGCAACCTGCTGAAAAATAACTTGATTCAAACTGACTAGTAAAATGAGTGTGATTGTCTTGTTTAATCATTGATTTGAATCTGGATCGGTTTAAATGTGGCTTTATGACCTGAACTTGTTTTGGTCATCTTGACATGACATGTTGTGAAATGACAATAAGAAAGATGTCGTAGATGCATCAAGCTAGAAATGCTCTTGTAATTTTGTTGCATATCAGATAAATAAATAGATAAATAATGATACAAGCTATTACTTTCTACATTTATGGACAGCTCTTGTTGGGGGAGCTTCTGTTCAGTTAGCACAGAAAATGGATCATTTCGGAGTAGGTGTTGGATATCTGCAGGCTAACTTGACAAAATTCAGTTCAGGTTATTTATACAGCACCAAGTCACAACGGAAGTCGTCTCAGGACACTGAACAGAAACGTTCATATAAATCTAAAGTAAGTTAACAACATTATTTATCTGAGCAGACTGCTTCGAGTTCAACTTCACTGCAGACTCTCATCTTCAAGTATCTTTACTGTTATTTGCATCACATGTGGTACATGAGGTGGAACAAAACTGTGTACTCAAGGTCCCAGTCTTGACACAACTTGTTATTCAAGCAAGAACGTGATTAGTGAAAATGAAACGGACACAATACTCCCAGGATGTCAGCCCACCTTGCCATTCAGCGTTACAGATGCACATCTTTCCTTGGCATCGACCTCTTTCAGGGTAGCCACAGTTCTTCAGGCAGTATGGGACGTCACAGGCTTCTCCCTTCCAGTTGGCTTCACACTCACAATGAACCGAAGCCGTGGCGTTCCCCACACGACACTCACCTCGGCCAGAGCAGTTGTTGGGACATGTATTCACTCTTACGATGAGGAAAACAAAACAAAAAGCAAATGAGATATAAAATTATGAATGAAAACAAAAGAAGAACTTTTTTGACGGTGACATCTGCTTTTGTGCCAGCACCAACTTGAGTTTAGAGCTAAATATAAAATCTGCACCATTCTCCTTCAGCTTGCAGAACGTATTGTTACAAGCTGATCATTCTGAGAAAGCATGTTTATCATCTGACAGGGCCCACACACTAACACACCGCTGAGTTAGACACACGGTGTGCAATGTATGACGTGTTAACCATCAAAGCAAGACAGCGAGACATCAATATCTTTCTGCCTCAAAATACTGAGAGCAAAACAAATGGAACAAAGGTCCCTTTGTTAGTTCTTTTTTTATGATGTTCAAGTTGAACATTTCTTAATCCAACAGTTTCCATGAAGTTTAACGTTCAAAAAGACTAAACAAAGCTGTAATCCATTCCTCCTGTTAGCTGCTGAAGTCCAGGCCAGGTATGAAAAGCATCGACCCACAAGATGAAAAGCAGACAATACTCTTCAACAGAACATTTGTCCTTTTATTAGCCACTCCACCTTTTATGTTGCTTCTGAATTTGTTTTAAACATCTTTACAGACAGCTCACTTCAAGTTTTTTTCACTTGCAAGCACTGCTGTACGACAGCAGCTAATCTCTGGAGCATTTGCTGACCAGAAAAAATATCCGAAGTTTAAGTGTTTAGCCAGCCAAGATAAAAACAAACTAAAAGTGAATGCAAGCTAGTTTTACTGGGAATCTCTGTAAATATTTGAAAAAGGTATTCTCCATCTTTTCTTACGTGTAGGAAATGTTGAAGCCCGTCAGGTTGTATGCTGCATCACTGAAGAAATGCAACAGAGTGAAGCCGGACTGAGACACGACCTCAGGAACTGTCTCGTTTCCATACTGCTCCGGAACAATCAGACCGCTGCAATGACAACATCAGTGTGGCAAATATTTTTACTGTACAATAACTGCTCATTTGCATAAAAATTAAAAATAAATTGTATGAAATGTAAAATAATAATAATAATAATAATAATAATAATAATAATAATAATAATAATAATAATAATAATAATAATAATAATAAAAATAAAGAGATCAAATGTTAAAAAATATAAGAAACTTTAAAAAAATGATTTTTCTCAATGTGGTTTGTATCCTCCTTGATTTGCCACCTTATCGTGGTGGAGGAGTTTGTGCACCTGAATGATCCTAGGAGCTATACTATCGGGGGCAATTATAATTGCCCCTGATAGGGTCTCCCAACGCAGACTGGTCCTAGGTGACAGGCCAGACAAACAGCAATTCAGAAGATTTTTTATGGACAGAAAAAAAACAAAGAACTCTGTGTCCCTTGCCCAGAAGTGGGTAAAGCCCCCAGTATACTGCCGCGTACGTCCATACACAGAGGTACGCACGTACGTACGCGGAGGTACGAGCATACCCCCCAGGGCATGTCTGTGCAAAGCTCAATTTTTACGACCGCATACGCATACTCGATGTTGCACAATAAACAGCCCAGTGACGGACTGTTTTTTATGCGACACCAATGTATTAAATTCCTCTTCTTCATCCCTGATCTGGCCTTTTCTTTTGTTTTTTTGCCAAGAGGCAGAGATCTCTTCCTCCTCCGTTGATGCCATGACTGAAATGGTGAGAAATGAAGGAATTTGTCACGAGCAAATTAAACTCAGGTCCAACGTGGCTGCGGGAGGGTCTGGAGATTTCCTGGTGGGCTGGTCTGATGTGTGGGCTGTAGAGCCAGCGCTCCCTGTTTTTTTGGGGGGGGCTTTTTAGATCTTTTTATTAACAACATATAAACACAGAACACCGCTGCAGCTGAGGCTGCCAGCACTTTTTTTTTCTTTTTTCCCGACCTGTCAATCAATCCAGTAGGCGTGTCAGCAAATGACTGCGACCTCAATTTGTCCCGACGGTAAACGCCCCTTGTCTGTGAAGCTGCTCTGCAGCAGCTCATGGTGGAGGCTCAAGTACAAAGTCTGAACCCTCTGCGTACAGTACACGCGTATGTACGCGTGAATGGACGTACGCGGGAGTATACTGGGGGCTTTACTGGGACCCCAACCCAGAGCAAGGCCTTGGGGGAGGGACTCATCGGCAAGCGCCTGGTGACTGGGTCTCTACCCATGTGGTCCGATCGGGCTCAGCCCAAAGGAGCAGTATGGGTTTGCCTTCCTGTGGATCCACCATCTGCAGGAAGGGCCATAAAAGTCAGATGCATGATGCAATGGGGAGTGGCCGAAGGCGGGGACCTTGGCACTCTTGACCGTGGCTTACCAAAGCTGGCTCTTGGGATATGGAACATGACATCTCTGGTGGGGAAGGAGCCTGAGCTTGTGCGTGAGGTTGAGAGGTACCGACTAGATATAGTTGGGCTCACCTCGACACACATCATGGGCTCTGGAACCCATGTCCTTGAGAGGGGCTGGGCCTTATTAAACTCTGGAGTTGCCCATGGTGAGAGGCGTCGAGCTGGTGTGGATCTACTTGTAGCCCCCCCAACTTGGTGCCTGTGTGCTGGAGTTTTCCCCGGTAGATGGGAGGGTGGCTTCCTTCGTCTTTGGGTGTGGGGACGGGCTTTGACTGTTGTTTGTGCCTACGTGTCGAATGGCAGTTCAGAGTATCCAGCCTTCTTGGAGTCTTTGGCAGGGGTGCTGGAAAGTGCACCAGCTGGAGACTCAAAGGGTGCTGGAAGGTGCACCAGCTGGGGACTCCAAGGGTGCTGGAAGGTGCACCAGATAAGGACTCCTTTATTCTACTGGGGGACTTCAATGCCCATGTAGGTAATGACAGTGTGAACTGGAGGGGTGTGATTGGGAGGAACGGCCTCTCTGATCTGAAACCAAGCAGTGTTCTGTTGTTGGACTTCTGTGCTAGTCATAGTTTGGCCATCATGAACACTATGTTTGAACATAAGGGTGTTCTTAAGCAAACTTGGCACCAGGATGCCCTAGGTCATAGATCGATGAGTGACTTCATAGTTGTGTTATCTGATTTGCAGCCGTTTGTTTTGGATACTCAGGTGAAGAGAGGAGCTGAGCTGTCAACTGATCACCACCTGATAGTGAGTTGGATCAGATGACGGGGCAAGATGCCAGACAGACCAGGTAGACCCAAATGTGTAGTGAGGGTTGGCTGGGAACGCCTGGCAGAAGAACCCCTCAGAAAGATATTCAACTCACACCTCCAGGAGAGCTTTAACTGCATCCCAACTGAAGTGGGGGACATTGAGTCCGAGTGGGCCATGTTCCATGCCTCGCTTGTTGAGGTAGCTGCCTTGAGCTGTGACCACAAGGTTGTCTGTATTCCTCGTGGTGGCTATCCACAAACTCAGTGGTGGACACCCTGGGTTGGGGATGCTGTCAAGCTGAAGAATGAGTCCTATTGAACCTTGTTGGCCAGTGGGACTACGGAGACAGATGAAGAGTATTGGAGGGCCAAGCTGTCCACAGCCTTGGCTGTTGCTGAGGCAAAAGCTCAGATGTGGGAGGAGTTCGGTGAGACCTTGGATAGAACCTCTTGGTCGGCTCAGAGGAGATACTGGCAAACCATTGGGTGGTTGAGAAGGGGGAAATAGCACTTTACTAACACTGCTCAGTAAAGGTGGGGTGCTGTTGACCTCAACCAGTGATGTCGTCGAGAGGTAGAAGGAATACTTCTTGGACTTTCTCAATCCCACAGCACGTTTTCAGTGGAGGAAGCGGAGTCGGGTGAATTTGGGGTTGATCCGTTCATAACTGTGGATGAGGTCGCCAAGGTAGTTAAAAAGCTCAGAGGCGTCAGTGCTCTGGGAGTGGATGAGATTCACCCTGATTTCCTTAAGGCTCTGGATGTTGTGGGGCTGTCTGGGTTGTCAAGCCTTTGCAACATCGCATAGACATTGGGGGCAGTGCCACTGGGTTGGTAGACTGGGGTGGTGGTTCCCCTATTCAAAAAGAGGGAATGGAGGGTGTGCTCCAATTAAAGGGGCATATTTCTACTTAGACTCGCTGGTAAGGTCTATTCAGTGTTGCTGGAGAAGAGAGTCCAATCGTTGGTCGAACCTCAGATCTAGGAGGAACAATGTGGGTTCTGTCCTTGCAGTGGAACACTGGATCAGCTCTTTACCCTCACTAGGGTCCTTGAAGTGTAATGGGAGTTTGCCCATCCAGTCTACATGCATTTTGTGGACTTGGAGCAGGCATTTAGAGTCAGAGTTTCTTTATTGTCATTCGCACCTAATGTGGTACATGTGGTGGAGCGAAACTATGTACACAGGGTCCCAGTTACATCCAACAATAAAATGTATAAGAAAAACAGTAATAACATCTAAGATATGAACTAAGAAAAACATCAACTAAATATACACTAAGCACTCATAACATAAAACATTGAACATCAGCACAAACATGAACATGAGTCTGTGTGAGCAGATGAGCACACATGAACACATCAACATTGAAACAGATCAGCAGCAACGTGAAACAGATCAGCAGCAACATGATGTGATTTTTCACAGTGATTATTCTAGTTAGAGATTCATGAGTCTAACAGCCTCAGAGTAGAAGCTGTTCCTCAGTCTAGTGGTTCTACAATTAATGCTCCTCAACCTCCTTCCTGAGGGGAGTGGGGCAAAAAGTGTGTGTGCTGGGTGAGTGAGGTCCTTCATGATGCAGGTAGCCCTTTTCCTGCATCTAGAGGTGTAGATGGCTGTGATGGTGGGGAGGCTGACTCCGACAGACTTCTGTGCAGCCTTCACCACTCTCTGCAAAGCTTTTCTTTCTGCAGCTGTGCAGCCTCCATGCCACACGTTGATGCTGGAGCACAGGATGCTCTCCACTGCACACCTGTAGAAGGAGGTGAGGACTGAGCTTCCCAGACCAGCTCGCCTCAGCTTTCTGAGGAAGTAGAGTCTCTGATGAGCTTTCTTGATCAGGCTGGTGGTGTTGTTGCTCCAGCTGAGGTTGTCATTCATGTGTACACCCAAGTACTTGTAGCTGGAGACCACTTCCACCGCAGATCCTTTTATGTTCAGGGGGGTGTAGATGTTTTTGTTCCTTCTGAAGTCCACAATCATCTCCTTTGTCTTCTTCACATTGATGTGAAGGTTATTCTCTCTGCACCAGCTCTCCAGGTGTTCCACCTCTTGCCTGTAGCTGGACTCATCATTGTTTGTGATGCATCCCACCACCGCTGTATAGTCTGCAAACTTTACAATATGACAGCCTGGATGGGTAGCTGCACAATCATACGTGAGCAGAGTAAACAGGAGGGGGTTCAACACACATCCCTGAGGAGAGCCAGTGCTGAGGGTTATGGTGGAGGAGGAGAGGTTGTGGATCCTCACTAACTGTGGTCTGTTTGTTAAAAAGTCTAGTACCCAGTTGCAAATTGAGGGGCTTAGTCCTAGAGTGGATAGTTTGTCCATCAGGGTTTGGGGGATCATGGTGTTGAAGGCAGATGTTAAGTTCACAAAGAGCATACGGACGTAAGAGTTTTTCTGCTCCAGGTGGTTGAGCGCAGTGTGGACCACAGAGGAGACGGCATCCTCTGTTGATCGGTTTTCATGGTATACATACTGATGAGGGTCCTCGTTGATGTTGATGGTTGTTTTGATGTGAGTCATGACCAGTTTTTCGAAGCATTTAGCAACTATCGGGGTGAGGGCCACTGGCCGACAGTCATTCAGACCAGTCACTGTAGAGCTTTTTGGTACTGGAATGATGGTGGCAGTCTTCAGGCAGGTGGGAACTGTCTCCAGGGTAAGTGAGGTGTTAAAGATGTCTGCCAGCACCTCGCAGAGCTGATCAGCACATTCCTTCAACACTTTTCCGGGGATGTTGTCTGGGCCAGTTGCTTTGTGCGGATTAATCCTCCTGAAAGTACTCCTTACTTCGGCTGAGGTCACGCTGAGATGCTCTT